TACAGTGTTGTTATCTATCTATCTATCTATCCAGTAATTATTTTATATTATTTTGACTTTCTTTTGTTCTTTCCTTCCTTCCTTCTTTCTTTTTTATTTATTTATCCTTTCAAATGTTTTATACATTTGTTTTAATTTTTGTTTATTTGCTTACTGCTATTTACATTTTCCTTTGCCATTTATTTATTTCTTTATCAATCAGTCCAGTAGGCTAATTCTTTTCAGTTAATTTGACTTTCCTTCCTTCCTTCCTTCCTTCGTTCTTTCTTTTTATTTATTTAATTATCCTTTCATTATTTTATTCTTGTTTATTTATTTGTTTAGCCTACTGCTATTTATCATTTAGGCCAATGTATATATTTTTTGTCAACTTTTATTTATTTATTTATTTACTTACTCAGTCTAATAATTATTTTTATATCAGTTTGACTTTCTTTATGCTGTTTATTTCGTGCGGGAATTATTTTATATATAGCCTAATCCTATATATTTTATATTCTTTTTTCAATACTGTATTCAGATCGTTTAGTATGTTTATTAATATTGCATTGTAATGATAAATATTTGTGTTTCCTCAGGTTATATCCAGGCGTCTCGCGCTCTTATGATCGCGGCAGTGGTGTCTGGCACATTCGGAGTGGTGGCCACCCTCATCGGCATGCAGTGTTCGAAGGCCGCTGGTGACAACTACGTACTGAAAGGCAGAATCGCCGGTACTGGTGGCGCATTTTACCTGCTGCAGGGTAAGACACATTACTAATTAAACTCAACGATGATTGGAATCTCCTAAACAGCTAAGCTATCGTTAAAGGAGTCCTTATCAGATTCACATTCTGAAAGCTTTATTGCTATTGTATCTGTTGTATCTGTTGTTGATATTGTATCTGTTAATCTTTTTTGTTTTTTTAATCCCATCCAAAGGTTTATGCACGATGATATCAGTGTCATGGTACGCCGCAAACATCACTCAAGAGTTCTTCAACCCGCTCTACCCTGGTCAAAAGTGAGTGCTCCATGGGCAATTATGCTGCCTCCTGCTGTCTCATCTCATACTCAACTACTACTCTCATCAAACACCTGTTGGTGGTGCTCACCGTTTTATAAAGTATTAAACTTAAACTGCAAACTATAACTAAATTGCCCTGCTGTGCTTTACTATAGGTTTACGTGTGTTTTAACACTCTCAGAAAAAAGGTACAAAAGCTGTCAATGTATGTTAGACTGAACATGTTATTTTTGTGGTGTGCTATAGGTATGAGATTGGAGAGGGTTTATACATCGGCTGGGCCTCTGGTGTTCTTGCCATCTGTGGTGGAGCTTGTCTCATGTTCTCCTGCAAATTAGGCACAAAGGAGAAGACGTGAGTTTCTTTGTCGCAATCTCTTACACTCGCTCAAACACTTCTCTCTTTCACACACTTTCTCAAATAACATTTTGCCCATTGTTGTTATTTTATGCATTTGTGCATGTGTTTGGGAGCACGTTTCTTACATTCTGCATCTTCTCTTGCAGTTACTACCAGCCCACACGTGAAACAGTTTACTCAGCGTCCGCATCCAAGAGAGACGCTCAGAGCACTTATGGAAGAAATGCCTATGTCTGAATGAAGCAATTCTGGTCAATTTCATGGCCAGACAAACGTAACATTAATAGCTGACTGTTAATATTCTGTCAATGTTTTATCTGTGCAATTATGTAAATATTTATACAGTACTAAATGCACAGGCGGTTTTGTGGCCACCTAAGAATAAGCCATTAATCAAGTAAACTGTTACCAAGTCGGTTTTGCTGTGCAAAAACACCTCAGAGAACATTATACAGAATGAAAGAGTTGAAATTACTTCAATTTTGTTTTAAATTTTGAATTACTTTGTCTGCGTTACATGAATCAAGATTTAAAAAAAAAAAAGATTTATAACATGTTAATTATCTTGTCTCCATTTATTTGTACAAATGACCCTGTTTTATATGATGTATTTATACAAACATGACATTAAAAAAGGCCATTATGTATTTGGGGATATTTTATTGTTTGACACAGCTTACACAAGAACAACAGCAATACAACATATCATATGTCATATTATTTTCCATTCTTACAAAACTATATAATTTACACTATTTAATAAAGTCCTATATTTATTTATTCTGATTATACATATAATTAACAATAGCAATTAATTATAGTAATGGAAGCCATGGTAAATATTTGAATGGGTCTTTTCTATTCTATTCAAACTTTTCAGTTTGAAGTGGGCCACATTAATTTATTTTGATCTTCAGTAATAATGATAACTCAAGTGTAGTATGGCATTTTGGTGGAAACCATTGTTACAATTTTCTACATTCTTTTAAACTGTATATATATATATAGAACAGAATATAATAGAATAGGTCCAAATACATTAAAAAATCACGAAAGGCCATTCTTTTTGGGAGTATGTTTATTGTTTGACACAACTCACATAATAACCATGTTTACCAAGGTAAATATTTGAAAATGTCTTACACTTTTTTAATTTATTTAGATTTTCAGCAAAAAAAAATAGCTAGAACTTAAGTGTAGTATGGTATTTTGGTGGAAGGTTAACATGGGACATTTTATAAGGTTCTGTTTTGTTGTATTGTGTTCTATAATGCTGTAAGAACAGAATAGAATAGAATAGAATAGAATAGAATAGATTATTTACCATGGTAACGACGGTTTCCTTTACTATCGTACTATCGTACTAATTAATTTCCGTAATTCATTCTACATCCTTAATTATTGCCTCTTTATGTATTATGTATTATGTATTATGTAAATAGGCCTACATATGCATATCTATTTATTTATACAGTTCTATATAGAGTAAATGCACAAATCTGTACATAAATCTACAGTTCCAGATTCATACACATTATTTATTGTTAAGTTTTTACTATTTAAATGTTTTTTTTTTATTCTGTTCTCATGTCAGATATGTATGTATGTATGCATGTATGTATGTACCAGGAGCACCTTAAAAAAACCACAACAAATTCCTCGTGTGTTTGCACACACCTGGCGAATAAAGCTAATTCTGATTCTGATTCTGATTCTAATTCTGAGACTAAAGGCTAGGCGAGAATAAACTTTTCATCTCGAGTAAATGATGGGTCATATCAGCTATCAGTCCATTGCAGGACGAGGGCGTGTCCATCCAGTGCGCTAAAATAATTCGGCCAATAGGACGGGACCACGTTTGTTGGCAAACACGGATGTGAGCAGCCAGTCACCGCGCTGAAATGTAGGGCGATTTGAATTGTACACCCAGGAGTTTCAAAAAGAGAAGACTTCAGAAAGTACGTGGCCGGCAGCTGTTGTGCAAGGTCACTGTCACACTGGGCTAAGGAACAACTCTTTATAAATTACAATACACGTTTTTTCCTCAGCAGTCGGCAGAGTGTTGATTATTGTGAGACACACGGAACTAGAATTTCGCCTTCCTTCATTCCACTCGGACATATTTTTAACCCGGACAACAGAAACATCTCCTTCTTGCCAAGTATGCTGGATATGTCGCTGTTATGATGGTCTGAGTATATATACTCTTTCTGTCCTATTGCGCGTAGCGAATCACAGTGGAAAGACACACGGTTGTATTATATTAGGGGTGTGATAAATGTCATCATGGAGTCGGGACGGCGGAGAGGTTTGAGCAGTGTCCTGTCCTCCCTGTCTCTGCTCTGTGTGGTCCTGGACCTACAGTTGGACGGTGAGATTTCATTTTTCATTCACACCTGAGATCTTGCTTAGATTTAAAGGAAATCCGTTTTTTTCCCCCCAGTTGGAGTACCATAGTATTACCATGTTTTTGGACAAGGACTATAGTAATACTATGGTATTCTTTGAAGTATCACTTAAAATTATGGTACAGGAATAAGGTAATAATGAAATAGCCTATATATCAGAATATCATGCTACCATCATCTCGTACTATAATTCTACCATGGTACCTCCCTCCACAGGTGCTCAACAGGGAGTGTCAAGGAAGAAGTCTTTCGAATAGTAGTATAAAATCATATTAACTTTTTTAAAACTTTAGTAAGATGCCTATCTAGACAGCATTCTTATGCCCTCTGATACCTAAGTACACTGTCTAGGTTGACAGCTCAGTAGGATTTGGAGCACAGACGTTAAATTACTTTCCTTTAGAATCTGATTTTGTTCAAACAGTGACGCACCATAGTACTACTACCATGTTATTGTTCATAAACCCTGATTTTTATTTATTTATTATAATTTTTTTATGTACCAATGTACGTAAAGTCGGCATGAGATCTAGAGGTGATAGTTTGTTTTTAATTAACGAATGCATTATAGTGACAATCGAACATGTAATGACCATCTACCTTGTCTTTGGAGTTGTTAATATCATACATTTAAAGCTTTTAAAAATCTTTATTGGTTAATGTTGAAACGGAAACTGTACTAGAGCGAGTAGAGGTGGTAGGTAATAATTTTAGGCTTTGGGCAGGGTGCTGTTTGCATGGTTTCACTTTTTGTTCTGTGTTAATCGAAACATAAATGCAGTGGAATGCCATGTTGAATTCCCTTTGAGGAGTTTCGTTATAATGACGCTACAGAAAGGCTTGTTGTTTTGGGTATGTAAGTTTAAGGAATATAAACTCAATCCCATCAGGCAGATGGAGGGTTTTCTAAGCTGCCTCAAAAAGCAGAATCATTATAAAAATTCAGCAGGTGTAATGTGCAAGTCACCTGTCTCTTTATTTCAGGTGTGCTAGGAGCAACGCCTGTTGAGATTGAGCATCATCTGGAAATGGGCCGTAAACTGCTGGCAGCCGGACAGCTGGCTGAAGCCCTGTCTCACTATCATTCAGCTGTGGGTAAGACAAATATACACAAAAACACAATCGCACATGAAGGTTACACTACCATTCAAAAGATTGGGTTCAGTAAGATTTTATTTAAAAGAAATTAAAACTTCCATTCAGCATGGATGCATTACGTTGACATTTAAATAGGTTTTAAAAGGTTACACAAGATTTTGATTTCAAACAAATGCTATTCTTTTAAACTTTATTCATCCTAAAAAATCCTGAAAAAGGATCATGTGACACTCAAGATTAGAGTAATAGCTGCTGAAAATGTAGCTTTGCCATCACAGAAATAAATTACACTTTAAAATATATTAAAATAGAAAACAGTTAAATAGTAATAATATTTCACAATCTTTTTCTTCTGAATTTCTGATAAAATAAATGCAGGCTTTGTGAGCAAACGAGACTTTTAAAAACATAAAAAAAATTTACTGACCCCAGATTTTAAACAAGTTTCATTTTCTTGTTTAGATAATAGCTTATCAGTATTAAAATGGATTTAGGTTCAGTTTATGTAGATAGTTTAAAATAAAGAAAAGATGCAGTTCATTAACAAATGCAAACGTCTTAAACAGAGGGTGACTCTAAGAACTACCTGACATACTACAAACGAGCTGCTGTTTTCCTGGCTATGGGCAAGTCCAAGTCAGCGCTGCCTGACCTGAGCCAGGCCATACAGCTCAAGCCAGACTTCCTTGCTGTGAGTTTATTTTTGTTGTTGTGAAATCAAATTAAGGTATAGGTGACAGTACTGTATATACATGTTTATGGTGTGTTTTTTTTGTTTGTTTTCAGGCCAGACTGCAGAGGGGTAATATTCTACTGAAACAGGGAAATACTGAAGAGGCCAGAGAAGACTTTCTAGCTGTGGTGAGTGAAACAATTCCCTTATTCTTTTATAACCCACCAACTTAATTCTCAAACCAGATCACATTCTAAATCAACTTTGTGCTCTGTTCTGTTCTATTTCCTGTCTACTGCTCTTTTAACTTTTCTCTCTTGCAGCTGAATCGTTCCCCGGATCACGAGGAAGCACATGATCAGCTCCACAAGGCCGATGATCTGGAGTTGCTCCAGGAAGAGGCACATGAGGCCCATCACCGTGGAGACTACTTCACTACTGTCCAGGTGCTGGAGAAAGTCATAGAGGTGAGTTAGTCTGGAGATCAAAAATGCACATGAAGCAACAGGTTTTTTTAATATATTGCTACATGGTAATAGTAATATTAAAGGGACCCAAAGAATAAAAAAGATGTTATCATTTATCATGGCAAAAATACAGTAGAAATAGTATTACAATTTAAAACTGATTTTATAATGTAATTTATTCCTGTGATGGTAAATCTGAATTTTCAGCAGCCATTACTCCAGTCTTCAGTGTCAAATGATCCCTCAGAAATCTGATTTTTGGTGAATCAATGTTGAAAACAGTCGTGCTGCTTAATATTTTTTGTGGAGACTGTGGAAACTTTTTTATTAAATAGGATGCATTTATTTAAAAATAGAAATGTAACTTTATATATGTCTTTACTGTAACTTTTGATCAATTTAATGCCTTCCTACTGAATAAAAGTATTTTAATGGTATTAAGTCATTATTCACTGAAAGTTCTGGACTATGATTAGGTGAAGTGTTCTTTAAGAATTTAACATTTTATCACGTATCACTTTGTGTCTGTATTATTGCACTTTATTTATTTTTTTTGAGTTGTTAAATGAGTGGCCCTACAAATAAAATGCAAAAACAAGTAACATATCAAATGTTGTAGTTTAAACTTAGCATGTCTCTGGAGATTCAAAAACACTTATACTTAGTTGTCATCTAGCTTTGTTCTATAGTAATCTATTCTTTGTTTTCCAGCTCTCTCCTTGGGACCCCGAGTCTCGAGAACTAAGAGCCGAGTGCTACATCCGACTCGGGGATCCACGGAAGGCCATCATGGACCTGACACCAGCAACACGTCTCCGTGCAGACAACCGAGCAGCCTTCCTCAAACTCAGTCAACTCCATTACAGTTTGGGCGATCATCACGACTCGCTTAGGTATGTCATTCATTATGAATGGCAGCCGCATTCTTTGGTTATTAAATCATTCAGACAGTATTCAAGCATCTCCTGTAAGCTGTTTCAAGGACATTTCTACCTTTATTAAATACAGTTGTCAATCCCCACACATTGACTGTGTGTGCATGTTGTTATACAGTAGTAATAATATACCAATCTTGTGTGAAGCTAAAAGAAAGTTGTCTCCTCCTTTTGCTGCTGTTCACTCTGTCTTTCTCTCTTTGTTTCTGTTTTCAGTCAGGTCCGTGAGTGTCTGAAGCTGGATCAGGATGATAAGGAGTGTTTCGTCCACTACAAACAGGTCAAGAAGCTCAGCAAGCAGCTGGACTCTGCAGAAGAGCTGATCTTAGAACAGAGGTGCTGAGAACATCTCTTCCCTGTCACTTCTAGTAATGACCTTTTAATTCAGGTCTAGGCTCAGCTTTCATTTTTGGCTTTTGTTTGAGATTTGTTATATTACAAATTTTTTTTTTTAAATGTATAATATTTTATTTTTAGCTATATTTATTTTATTTTATGATTTATTTGATCACATATTACATATTTATTGCATGCATTACCGTTGAAAGGTTTGGGATTCTTTTGAAAGAAGTCTTTATCAATAAATCAGTCAAAACGGTAATATTGTGAAATATTACAATTTAAAATAACTTTTTTATTTTAACATATATTAAAATGTAATTAATTATTGGGATGGTAAAGCTACATTTTCAGCAGCCATTATTCCAGTTTTCAGTGATCCTTCAGAAATCATTCTAGTATGATTTGGTGCTCAAGAAACATTTCTTATTATTAACAATGTTGAAACCAGTTGTGTGAAATAGAAAGTCAATTTAATGCGTACTTGCTGAATAAAAATAATAATGTATTTTAAAAAATCTTACTGATTTGGTTTTGAATGGGTTTTATGTCTCCATCAGTGTCAAATTTGACATCATTTTGATTATTTCAGGTTTTTCAGTTCTAATGGTTTATTAATTCTTTTGTTTTATGTTTACTTGAATGACAGGTATCAGGAGGCCACTGAGAAGTATGAATCTGTGATGCGAACAGAGCCGAACGTGGCATTCTACACTAATAAAGCAAAGGAGAGGATCTGCTTCTGCTTAGTCAAAGTATGTTCCTTTACTAAATGTAGTTTAGTTATTTTACAGCTTTTTAAGGGGATGAAACCCCTTCTAGTCCAGCTGTCCTAGTAATCACCATTTATATGGTATGTTCACTTTCACATCGTTAGAGGTTAATAAGAATAAGAACATCAAGAGTCTGGTTCTGGTGTCTAGCCTCACTGGTTCTGTTTTTCTCTCACTCCCTCTTTTGGCTCCTCCAGATGAAGAGTGCTGAGGAGGCCGTAGACATTTGTTCAGAAGCCCACCAGAGAGAACCTCAGAATATCCACATCCTCCGGGACCGAGCGGAGGCCTACATCCTACAGCAGGAATATGAGAAAGGTAGTACAACACTCATCGACTACTATATAATGTACCGGATATTCTAACCTTTTCATTTCGTTTGCATAAACTCATGTTTCTTCCTCTGTTCCTCTTCTCAGCTGTGGAAGACTATCAGGAGGCACGGGAGTTTGATCAGGAAAACCAAGAGCTTCGTGAAGGTCTTGAACGAGCACAGAAGCTCCTCAAGCAGTCTCGCAAGAGAGACTATTACAAGATCCTGGGGGTCAGCAGGTAAAGCAATGACTGGTGATCGAAATCCTGCCTTAAATCGTTGGCAGACAGTGTTACTACCTTAACTGTTTCTGTCCTGTTTTATGGGAATAATGCAGAAAATCTGGTCAAAGGTTGTTGCTAGGGCACCTGCAATAGTAACAATGTATGTAGCGTGCATGCATGTTTGTGTAAGCCAAAAGAAGGTGGTTTGACTGAAATGCTTGTTTCTTTTCACTTGTTTTCAGGAGTGCCAACAAACAGGAAATCATAAAAGCATATAGAAAGCTGGCTCAGCAGTGGCATCCTGATAATTTCCAGTCTGAAGCAGACAAGAAAGAGGCAGAGAAAAAGTTTATTGATATCGCATCAGCAAAGGAAGTGCTCACCAATCCAGGTAGGAAAATATCAGATGACCGCAAAAACTAAATAAAACATGAAGTCAAATTTTTATCAGTCTGTTATAAGTCAGTTATTGAAAATTTCTATTGTCAGTCAGTTTTTTTGGAACGTTTTGTTTCAGCTTGTTTTATCGCTGGATGTACATTACTGGTCAAAAGTGTGCTGACCAAGGCTGCATTTATTTAATAGAAAATACAGTAATGTTGTGAAATATTATTACAAATTAAAATAACATTTTTCTATTATATTTTTCTAATATTATCAATATTGAAACCAGTTGTGCTGCTTAACATTTTTGTGCAAACTGTGATACAGTACCAAGTTCAAAAGTTTGGTGTAAGTACGATTTAAAAAAGAAAAGAAACGAATTAATACTTTTATGCATCAAGGAAATTTCAGCTTGGCATCACAGGAATAAATTACATTCTAAAATATATTACAAAAGAAAAAAATATTTCAAATTAAGTGAAAGTGACATGTGGCCAAGTATGGTGACCCAAGAGGCAGAGAAAAAGTTTATTGATATCGCATCAGCAAAGGAAGTGCTCACCAATCCAGGTAGGAAAATATCAGATGACCGCAAAAACGAAATAAAACATGAAGTCAAATTTTTATCAGTCTGTTATAAGTCAGTTATTGAAAATTTCTATTGTCAGTCAGTTTTTTTGGAACGTTTTGTTTCAGCTTGTTTTATCGCTGGATGTACATTACTGGTCAAAAGTGTGCTGACCAAGGCTGCATTTATTTAATAGAAAATACAGTAATGTTGTGAAATATTATTACAAATTAAAATAACATTTTTCTATTATATTTTTCTAATATTATCAATATTGAAACCAGTTGTGCTGCTTAACATTTTTGTGCAAACTGTGATACAGTACCAAGTTCAAAAGTTTGGTGTAAGTACGATTTAAAAAAGAAAAGAAACGAATTAATACTTTTATGCATCAAGGAAATTTCAGCTTTGCATCACAGGAATAAATTACATTCTAAAATATATTACAAAAGAAAAAATTTTTTCAAATTAAGTGAAAGTGACATGTGGCCAAGTATGGTGACCCATAGAGACCCATAGAGTGACCCATACTTGGAATTAGTGCTCTGCATTTAACCCATCCAAAGTGCACACACACAGCAGTGAACACACACACACCCGGAGCAGTGGGCAGCCATTTTTTTTTTTTTTTTTGCTGCGGCGCCCGGGGAGCAGTTGGGGGTTCGGTGCCTTGCTCAAGGGCACCTCAGTCGTGGTATTGAAGGTGGGAGAGAGCGCTGTACATTCACTCCCCACACCTACAATCCCTGCCGGTACGAGACTCGAGACCGCAACCTTTGGGTTACGAGTCCAACTCTCTAACCATTAGGCCACGACTTTATTTTTTGATCAAATACATTCAGCCTGGTTGAGCATTAGAGGCTTCTTTCAAAAACATAAAAAATCCTAATAATTAAGTGTGTATGAAGATTAACTTCAAATTTATGCATTCTTATTTGTTGTTTTCTGAACAGAAATGCGTCAGAAAGTTGATTCCGGCGAGGACCCTCTGGACCCTGAGAATCAGCAGGGTGGAGGAGGAGGCAGAGAATGGCCCTTTGGCTTCAACCCCTTTGAGGGCGGAAACTTTCACTTCAAGTTCCACCAACACTGATAACAGAGGCTGATGCAGTATAAACAGACAATGATTTGAACTAAGAAACGTGGCTAGAGAACCTGCTTTATCCAAACTGAACTTTGTAGGGATCTTATCAAACAGAGTTTTTTTTTTCTTTCTTGTTTTTGAGACTTGAATCCACAGGCTGATGGACTTCTCCATGAGCAAATTACTTGATCTGGCAAACACTTAGTTTGGTGTTTGATTTCCTGTCCTTAAAGACTTAAACATGGAGTCTAGTTGAACTTGGGGTCTTAAAGGATTAGTTCACTTCCAGAATGAAAATTCTGTCATCATTTACTCACCCTCCACTTGTTCCAAACCTGTATTGAGTTTCTGTCTTCAGTTGAACACAAAAGAAGATATTCTGAAAAATGTTGGTATCAGAAACAGTTGATGAGCATAGTATTTTCCTGCTATGGAAGCAATGGTGCTCATCAACTGTTTCTGATACCAACATTTTTCAGAATATCTTCTTTTGTGTTCAACTGAAGACAGAAACTCAATACAGGTTTGGAACAAGTGGAGGGTGAGTAAATGATGACAAGATATTCAATCTGGAAGTGAACTAATCCTTTAAACCCAGCTGAGTCATTTCGGCTCAACATTTTTATCTTTCTTTGACGTATGTGCCATCTCAAACATTACTTTCTCTCTCATACTGTCTAAAGGCCCGTTCACACCAAGGACGAAAACTATAAAGATAATGATAAAGATATAGTTCTAAAAATCGTTCTCAATATTAAAGAATAGCAGAGTCCACACCACAACTATAACGATAAAGACAAAGAGAAACGATATCGTTGGAATCATTTTCAAAACTTTTTTTTTTCAGCTGATGAACGATAAAAAATTGACAGCCAATCAGAATCCATCCTGCTGTAACGAGCTCAAGAATTTAAAGCGGCAGACGAGTGTGCGCTTGGAATAAACAGACGATATCGTTCGCTGGTGTGGACGCTAATATCGTTATCTTTATAGTTATCGTTCTTGGTGTGAACGGGGCTTTATGCCTTCTTTTTTTTTTTTTTAATAACACTCCAGAATTTAGGGTTGTGGTTTCTTTTAGATTGTGCCATGTACTTCTGACACCAGTATGTCATACATGCCGGCAGCCTTGAAATAGATAAAACAGTATTTCACGCTTTTTGGCAAAGGAAGTACCTTTTCATATATCTTTGTTTAATTAAAAAAACATTTTTTTACACACCCAACTGCATAAAACCACCAGAAATTACCGTGCCCTTGGGCTGCTTTATAGCCTGACACCTTTGATCTGATACCAGTTTTGCACAATAGTTTTTTACTGATCTTTGCTAAAAGTTTACATGACAGAATGTTTATCATTGTACAGCTATTGCTGATGATGAATCAGATGGCAGTCTATGAAGCAGCCTTTATTTGATTTAATTTTCTTTTGTCTAATCGATCAACAATATGTCCCACAACAAAGCTTTGAAACTATTATGTAAACTTAATGAGTTACCCCTGCACTTTCTAAATTCGAGTTGAAGGTCAATAAACTTAAGAAATCACTAGCTATTTGAAAGAAAATGAAAAAAAAAAAAGTATTATTCAAAGATTCATGAAAAGCGGCAAACAATATTTAAAAGGTTTGTAGGTATTTTGGGTATATGCTTGTTAGGTTGTGCTGACATGCCAATGCAATGTCTCCTTTGACCTTACTGATGTTAAGGACATGGGTCTTCCTAATGTTTTATGCTTGTTTTTTATTTGTTTTGTTTTAAGATAAACAAATTCATGAAAATCTCCAAGATATACTGTATTTAAAAAGAGAGAGAGAGAGAGTATTGAAGACTCATTTGTCAAGTGTCTTTTATCATTTGTTTTTTAAGACTTTTTTTCTAGGATAAATGTATGGAATTGAAAGTCAAGGCAAGCATCACATTTACTTTTATTTAAGGGTTAGAGGTTCCGCATATTTCTTTCTTTCTTTTTCCTCTTTCTTTCTTTATTTTGTACTTCTACCCAAAGGGTGAAAAAATATGATGGAAAAAAATAAATCAAACAAAAAATACACAATAGCCTACAGAAGTATACTGTAATTGGAAATCTTGTAAGCAAAACATAAAAACTAATGGTAACACTGTACAATAAGGAACCATTAGTGACCATGACATTGAAATTAAAGCATTTCTTCATCTTTGTTATGTTCATTTTAACATTTACTAAAAGATTATTATAATCAAAATTTGTATCTCTTAATATAATTGAATGGACATGGGTTAATTTGAACTAACTAATACATTAACTAACGTGGTCTAATTATGAAGTTTTACCAAACTTGTTATGGAAAAAAATAGCGCTACTTTTTTCAGGGCTTCCGTAGGTTGCGCGCTCCTCTCCCTGTGCTTCGGTTACCACAGCAACCAGTGAGCTTGTGCGCGCCTCGCAAGTAACAACAACCAACTTCTACAGTGACTGAATGCTCTTTAAATCGTGAAAACGGTTTTATTTCTCCAAAATAGGAGTTTTGTTAAAATGCGGCGCCCAAAGTATTTCACGCCGAAGGAGGTGTCCGTTCACAACACTCTCAAAGATATATGGGTGTCGTACCTGGGCAAAGTCTACGATCTGACACCGCTGCTGGAGGAAAATAAAGGCAAGTAACTTGCACGTATTATGTTGTCCCCAAACTTTTGCAATGTAGTATGTATTAACTGTTTATTAAAAGCAGTATCTCTCTCTTATAGGTGATGTGTTATTGAAACCTATCACAGAGTGTGCAGGAAAGGACATCAGTCACTGGTTTGACCCAAAGACAAAGGATGTAAGCCACTGTATAACATTTGCAAAACTTATTGAAAGTATATTTTAATATTTTTATGTAATTTAACAAAACCAAGGACTATACAGGAAAAACTCCTGCAGGGCACACACAAAGAACCTTTTTTTTTTTAATTTGTAAAAATATAGTATTTGCTTTTTAGTGTTTTTTTCAAATATTTTTTCATATTTTTAATGATAATTTCAAAGATAAAAACCGAAACTAAAATATATATCTTTTTGAAAACTATTTCTCCATTTCAAAAAAGTATGTTTTTCCTACTCCGAGAATAACCATATAATCAAACTAGGCTACTACTTTTTTTTTTTTTTGGCAAAAAATAAAAAATTTAATTTTTATCTAGTTGTTTTGTTAAAGTCACCATGAAATCAAAACGGAAAATTTTTATGAAAAATTGCAGTATTTATAAACGTCTTTTCCATGCACATCATTATTTTTAATTCATGTGCCCTTGTAATCTTTAATAATAATAATAAAAAAATATATATATTTCCCTCTTTTTGCAATGATCTCTTCTCTAATAAGGTGTGGGCCAGCAACTTGTTACTCACACATGAGATGTTGATAATGTGGAAATGTGGCAATTAGCAAATGACAAAGATCCGGTCAATTCCCAAAGAAAAAAATCAAGTCCCGCCCTACATTATTTTCTCATTTGAGAAGCCATTTTACTTAGATATATGTCACAGTAAGGGAAGAAAATAAAATTTTAATTTCATGCCGACAATCTTCTGAATGACCAAACATGTTTTTACATGATTATGGGGCATTTTTTTTTGTTGATTCACAGTGTTGTGTTTTTCCTTTTTAGATTCTTACACATGTTGACCCGTTGACTGGCTGCATTAAATACTACACCCCTAGGGGTCGCTTTTTACACATACCCCCTCCCTGCCCTCGCACTGACTGGGCCAATGATTTCGGGAAGCCGTGGTGGAAGGATAACCGCTACGAGGTTGGGCTGCTGTCTGCCAAAACACGCTGGATCCGCATTATCAACACTTTAACCTCCCAAGAGCAGATGCTGGAGGTAGGCCAATATTAACTTGGCACAGAGTTGTAGAGAGCAGAACACGCTGACTAATCTGCAAAATGATTTCAGGATTGTGCCCCAAAAAGTGCTTATTAATTATTTAAGCCTTCCTGAGATAAAATGCCTGCACGGAGCACATTCCTTATGTCGGATTGCATGCTTGCACTGCGCCGCTGCATACTGAAGAGGGCAGAGTTGAACTGTTTCAATGCTTTGTAGCTCCTCTCCATCTTTGATTTTGTCCTCCCTCCCACTCTTTGCATCTGATCCTTTTCCAGCTTGAAGGAAATGGACCTAATGTTGAGCCTCTGGCATTACAAGCATTTTCAGACTGACCGTGCTGATTCACTTGCTTCAGCGGCCACCAGGCTGCATCTTAAACTCTGGGCTCAATAACCGTCTGGCAGTTTTCATTCAGCCCAGATACTTCTTTCTCTCCTTTCTACGGGCCTGTCGAAGAAAACATTCTTGCCCTGGGTCTTTCTGTAGGACTATTTATGTGCATTCACAAAATAAACATGTATTTGTAGCACTTTTTAGCAGCCAAATAGTTCTAAGCTGTTGTTTTCTAAGCAGGTTTGCTCGGAGGAGACTCTGGAAGAGATTCTCCAGCGATACCTGTGCTACAATTCCCATGCAGCAAGCTACACCTGGAAGCACAATGGCGTAAATTTGGACATGAGCAAGACCCTGAGTGAAAACAGCATCCCTGAAGAGGATGAGTTTTACTGCGGAAGCCCAGAGTGTGACCTCTTCTCTCCATCCATATGTCTGTATTTCAACGACGACCTCACTGAACTCTAAAAAACGCATGCTATTAATATGAACAATGGCATATAATTCATTAGAATATCCACTGCAAGCCATTTTGAGCGAGAAGAATACACCACATCAACTATTCATGTGTTCAGTGTTTCATCGATTCCTGTCTGTGGTTATCTTATTGCAGCTCTCTGGGCTTCATCCAATCAAATGCTGAGCAACAGAATAAAAAAGATGAATGCCAGCCTACATAATAACCCCCTGAACCATAAAGTCTGGTGGTTGCCATGGTAATTGCTCGGAGGAAATGCAGCAGCTACTGTATTGTAGGCCCCAGCAGGCTCTCAACCCTAATTAAATAGCATTATATATGTATGCATGCACACAGAAATGATTTCATGCAGCCAACATTTCAATTTAATCACTGCTTTATGAGACTATGCCATTAACATCTGCAAACGTGCATCTTTTTGGTAAGCCGTTTAATTTGCCTGTGCACTGTTTACTTGGTCTAAGGAGATTTTTGGGAATGTTTTTGTTCTGTGTGCTTAGGAAAGAACATCTAGAATGGTGGTTCTCATCCAGAGGGGCCGGGGCCCACTAGGGGGCCTTGAGATTGCTTAAAATGATTTAAAATATGCTTTAAACAGCATTTTTTAAATTAGAAATGGTCATATTTCTCATTTTAATTCATTCCCTCGACACCTTTTTCTGCAATCTTGGAAAACCTGGATTTATGATGAATGTGGGATTTCAAGACCTGGAAAAGTCATGGACATTTCTAAAACAAATATAAATTTTTCTAGTTGTCAAGCTCAAAAATATTTTATTGGGTAGAAACTACTGATAAATCACTGTAAAAAAATAAATAAACTGTAATCACAAATGACTACAAAAATCATGTAAATTAATTAATAATAATGTAAATCCTAATAAACATTCTGTTATTAAACTGCATCTGAAATTACCGAATTTTATTATATTAATTATTAAATATTTTATGAGTAAATGTTGCTATTATAAATACAATTTAGATTCAATTTAGATTGTTGAAATCAATATTTAAGAAAATTCTTTTTTATTGCAACTTCTAATTTCTGTTTTAAAAAAAAAAGTGAAAAATTGAAATAAGCAGCAGAAGAACCATAAATATTTTGGGGGGCCTTCAAATATTGTCTTTGACAATAGGGGGCCTTAGAGTCAGAAAGGTTGAGAACTGCTGATCTAATATATACCAACCAAACATTAAAAAACTAAATTAGACTACATAAGAAAATTTGTATTTAAAGCAGGAAGAAATAGATCAAGCTTATTTGCATCAGTTCCACTTATATTAATGTTTTGCTTGTGGCATGCAAATATGAAATGCCGAACTTCACAATGCAATATGTGTATTTGCAAAATATTATTGTAATTCAGCAGCTAATAATGTAAAATGATCTATTCCATTTCCTTTTCCTAATGATTTAATCTATTCTGGGCGGTTCAGATAACTTGCTTTGTTTTGTCCTGACCTCAAATAGTTAATTTTTAAGCAGTGCAACATGATGTAAGTGTGGGCATGGCTGCGGCAGCGCTCTCCCCTCCAGCCAACCTCACATCAGCCCCGTCGCTCCACAATTTTTTTTGAAAAAGGTGGGGGCCTTAAAAGAATATTAAGGTGGCCATGTTTGTTCGATTACTACGTGCACTTTTGGAAAAAGACAAGTTACCAAGCAAGTCTGAAGCAGTGAGAGAGCGAAAGCTCACACAATAAAACGAGTTGAAATACAAGTTGCAATCAGCTATACGCCCCCCTCCAGTAACAATGTGATTATTTTAAGGAGGGAGGGGAGACTGGAGAGAGAGAGAGAGAGAGAGAGAGAGAAAGGAGGAGGAGGAGGGGGGACGTTCTGAAATAATATAGTCAGCCATTTTTATGTAAGGGGATTTTTTTTATTGGGGGGGTAGGGAGGGGGGGTTGTTAAAAAATAAATATAAGGGCGGCCATCTTTGTTTCTCTGCCTTGTAGTGTAAAATATTCCAAAACGCCCCCACTTTTTGTGTGTCGATTTGAATATTAAATAAATATCATAATTCGGAAGGAATACACTTTTGGATCTCGCGGAACGGGGTCACCGACGGGAATATAATGTCCTCTCTTCTCCGTTCTTGTGAGGAAGATGAGGGCACAGCGGTTAATTCCGAGGAAGGAGATTTTGATGAAGAAGAAGAAATATTGTGGGCAGTTTAATATTCCGTTCTGGTCTTTTGCCTGAGAAAGGGAAAAGATGACTGACAGATTGTTACAATATGTTGTTAATACTGCCTTCCTGATTCTCTTTTATGGAGGAAACGAACGGGCAATTAAGGGATCATGGGCTACATTGTTGAGGGGGGGGGGGGAGTGGAGAGAGAGAGAGAGAGAGAGAGAGAGAGAGAGAGAGAAAGGAGGAGGAGGAGGGGGGACGTTCTGAAATAATATAGTCAGCCATTTTTATGTAAGGGGATTTTTTTTATTGGGGGGGTAGGGAGGGGGGGTTGTTAAAAAATAAATATAAGGGCGGCCATCTTTGTTTCTCTGCCTTGTAGTGTAAAATATTCCAAAACGCCCCCACTTTTTGTGTGTCGATTTGAATATTAAATAAATATCATAATTCGGAAGGAATACACTTTTGGATCTCGCGGAACGGGGTCACCGACGGGAATATAATGTCCTCTCTTCTCCGTTCTTGTGAGGAAGATGAGGGCACGGCGGTTAATTCCGAGGGAGGAGATCTTGATGAAGAAGAAGAAGACGACGGAGACCTGGACGAGAACGCAAGCGACATAAACTCACCGGCGGCGCCTAGAGAAACTGCAGCAAGAGCCGCGCCAGGTACCGTACAGTCCGTGGGGCACAAAAACATTTCGAAACAACCGCGAATGGTCCTAAAACTGCGATAGCGACAGCTGCGCTACTGCATACTTCATTCTGGCTCCTCTAAAGCGGTTAGGCGTTGCGTACGCTTTATTTATCCGCGTGCATTTCAGCAAAGAGTTGCATAGAGTTTGGCTAAAGTTGACCGATCCCCCCTCTCTCTGTCCCGTCTGTGTCATTCAGCAGGTCTGTCATATAATGGTGCTTTTTCATCTCCAGCTGTGATCCGACAATGAATCATTAAGCCGCCACCATGTCGTTTTTTGTTTGCCCTGAAGGTTAAGTTACAGACTTAGCATTTAAGCAGATAAACAAGAATATGACAATGCATCGATCTAAATGCGGGTCGGAAAGAGGCGTGAGCGTCAGGACTACCGCTTTGATTGTGACAATGTAAATAAACTTGACCCGACCCACTGCCGCCTGGTTCAGTAACGTTACAGGGCAGAGATCTTCGCTGCGATGCTTTCACTTTGCAAAATGCCAATTTGTACAGTCACCAGCCCTCGGGCTGTTTTGAGTGTGTGACTGTGTCAATAAAGCGTTAAATTATTATGCATATTTATGGCTTGACATCAACAGATAGTGATGAGTCCAAAGTTTCCACTATTCAGTCGATTAATGTGCCACACTGCATTAAATGCCATCTTAGAGTGCACAAAGCTTAGTTATAAACATGTTCCTTAAGCTGATGCTCTGTCATATTATTGAGAAATTCGTTTTAAAAACAACTTATTTACTTAACTCTAACTTTCAATGCCACACTATGCAACTGTGCTGATGTTTGTGGTTATATATTTGGGGCCTTGCTTAGTGCGTAACCGCTGCCACGCGCAGTCCCACAGTGCGCGTGAATCAGTTAGCACGCGCGTCCTGTCTCGCCCCCGCGACCTTCAGCTGCGGTTCATCTGGTGGTCTGCTCCCCAGGTGCAGGAGTTCACGACGAGGGGAGCATCAGCTCGGTTCGCGGCCTCTCAGTCACCGAGCCCCGAGTGCGTGCTACTGCCGCCCCTGGCTGCAGCGCGCGGGGGGAAAAGGGCTCTGCCCGCGCGCCCCAGCAACAAAGACACAATCGAATCTAACTCGTTTATCGCAGCGCAATGGCGATAGTTCTGCGTTATCAGACATGATATGCTGATATGTCTGCATTCATACAAACAAGCTGTATCAGGATGAATGAAACAGTGTAGAAAGTTAGACGTACTTGTTACCGTGAGGAGGTATTTCTATCTTATCTGCCTTTAAAAATGTCTTTCTTTGGTGTAAACTAATGTAGTCAGGTTGATGTAGTCATATTAAATTATATTCTGGACTTGGTAATATTATGACCAAATGCACGTTTGAATTTAAACGGGCTTCTACACAGCTGTTTGCTTTAAATGAAAGACCAGATTGGTTTGGTTTCACCAGAACGATTTTACATGGCTGTAGTCACATGACTAGAGCTGTTTAACTCCACTTTGCCCCTCTGAAAGATGATGTCTGTGTCAAAGCGCCTTTTATGGAAGCATGTCAAACTTGTCATAATACAGGCACCTTATTTGGAATATATAATATGAACAGTTTTTAGCATATTTTTAGGTGACCTGACACCAGATTTTGATTGATTGCATGATTAAAGAAATATTATTTTCAACATTTTGTGAAAGAAAATTGGGTTGCTTATTCATTTAAGGATTCCTTATTTATTTTACTTTTATTTAAATTACTTAAAGTAATTTCATCTATTCACACAGTGACCTGAAATACTCATGTTATGGAGTGCTGCATACAATATTGATCATCATCTTAAAATTCACTCCATAAATAGCTTTTGGAGAGTCGTAATTAGGTCATGTAGATAATCATGTTTGTGAGATTAATTCATTAAGTCCTACAGCTTAGTTCAAGTCAGAAGTGGAATGACTTATATTTCCTGTGTGACAGTCTCGGTTTCTGCACCACTCATGTTGTTCAATAATTGAAGTGGGAAATGATTTGAAGGATACCTCAGAGGGTTTGCGAAGAATTATGGTCACTTTCATTTCATCAGTCCTCCCATGTTCCCTCATTTCCCTGCATCTCTCTCATTTAGATGATGGCGATGACATTGGTGATACATCGGACAGGGACAACCTGGGGAAAAAGAAACGAGGCCCTAAGAAAAAGAAAGAGACAAAAAAGAAAGACAAGGACAAGGAGGGGAAGATGGCCAAAGCACGCAAGCGCAAAAAAATAGTATGTCATTGATGTGTTTTCTATCTTAATGTTCAAATGCATCTTTTTCATTACACTTTTATTTAATAGCAATTTGCAAACCGTCAATTGACTATTAATCAAATTACAAATTGAATTGCAATTAGTCACATGCATCAATATTTTCTGAAAAGAGCCCCTTGAATGGAGATAATTATTAAGATAATTGCACTAAT